GATGGGTTACAGTGAGTGTGGAGGCTCTGCGGTGCCGTCTTTTCCAGCGCTCCAGCCGTGCTGTGCTGGGGACTGGGGGGATTTTCACACAGGAGCTTTTCTTCCTCTTCGCATTTTCCAAATACCCACTGGGGAAGAAGAATGTCGTGTAGCATCTTCCTATTTCATAGATGTCTGAGGGTGCTGTGTAGGAGGAGCAGTTCTTGGGTTGCCGTTCCCTGTGTGGGAGGGCTCTGGCCTGCGGGAACCCCCTGGGTTTGCTGCAGGTGAGTGTGGCACAGCGTGTCTGAGCCCTGCTGCCACGGCCCCGCACGCAGTGCTGCTCTGGCACGTGCAGTCAGCAGGCAGGGAAATGCTGGGACTGGGCTCAGAATTGCCCTGGAGGAGAAGGCTCTGGCTCTGCTGTAGTTTCCTTCAGAGCTGCACAGGCTTTTTCCTTCTTTAGGTTCTTTTTTTTGGGGGGGGAGGGTGTGGGGGGCAGAAGAATGGCCTTTGCAGGGACACGGGAAATACAGTATTTTAGTAAAGCATAAAGCATTTCCTGTACACGAGGTTTCTGTGCACCCACCACACCCGTCACAGCAGCAGTGCTGGGATGCTGATGGCAGCACTGTGGGGAAGTGGGAGTGTTCGTCAGGGAGTTAATGCTGGTTTGGCTCCACAGAAAAATGCAAGGAACTACTAAGCAGCCCCTGAAAACCCAACGTCCCTTTTTGATAGCATTACCATCCCTGTCTGAGTCTTTCCCACAGCCGTCGCAGTGTTTATTTATCCCTGTGGGGTTGTTCTGGAAAGCTGCGGAGCTGCGCGTGGCACACGACTCCAGAGGTGCTCCTGTGCCGACGCTCTGTCTGCCCACAGTAATGGGTAAAGCGGAAGGCTCTGTGGCTAGGGAAGAATGGCACGGACACGTCACTGCTCTCTCTGTTGCACCAGAATTTCGACGTCTGGGTTTGGCTGCTAAATTGATGGAACTGCTGGAAGAAATTTCAGAAAAGTGAGTACTGTGCTTGTCTTAAAGGGCATCTCTTACAGTGATCTTTGTACAGACATCTGGCTGTGGCTTAGATTTGTGATTTGCATGAAACAGGCCCAGAATTTTGCTTTAAAAAGTGTTCCGATTTGCTGAAATTCCCTGTAGGAAGGGAACAAGAATTACAGATGTTGCTGGGTGATGTAAAATCTCGGGCTTTCTCTGAAAGCTGACTTGCCAGAAGGAGTACGAAGTAACCGGAATTCCAGTGGAGATACTGTATAAAAAGTCCTTTTGCTGACAAGAAAAAAGCTTCTTGGAACTATTCCCTGCAGGGTATCCCAGCTCTTGTTCAGGAGTCGTGGGCTCCATGCAGTTCTTTCGGGTGCAGCCTGGAACGCCCTTTGCCCAGCAGCCAGTGTCTCACTGACTTTCCAGCCTGCGGTCAGTTCCTTGTACGTTTCCTGCAGGAAATGCAGCGTCCAAGGACCGTGCAGGGAAATGTCCTCAGCTCATCCTGGTAGGGCAACCCCCTCAGAGAGGGAAAAATGGGACACTAGCCCGATGCTGGGAGCAATGTACCGTGAGAAGAACGGGCTGGCTGCTCTCCAGCTGCTGCGTTGGGTAAGGGAGGCTGGCCCCTGTGTGCTTTGAAGGCTGTCCTTAAATCAGTCTAAAATGGGAATTTTAAATAATTTCGTAGGAATATGAGATTTGTGGGAGTGGTTGAGCTTGTCCTGTTCTTTGTGTTCACAATACTGAACCTGCTGGCTGGTGCATAAGAATGACCGTGGGATTTGTCCCTCAGGGAAGGAGTGCAGCTGTTCCTGTGTGAAAGATGGTGGATCAGTACCTGCAGCAGCAGCTTGGCTCTTGCTCAGGTTGCAGGCTGTGATGTAGAAATACAGTCACCTGCTACTCCTCACTCTCCTGGTTTGGGTTTTATTTTTTCCACAGAAAGGGTGGGTTTTTCGTCGATCTCTTTGTGCGAGTATCAAATCAGGTTGCGGTGAACATGTACAAGCAGCTGGGCTACAGCGTGTACCGGACAGTGTTAGAATACTACTCTGCTAGTAGTGGGGAGCCAGATGAAGATGCTTATGGTGAGTCCTTGTTCTGCCTCTAGCAGAATGGAGAGATTCTTCTGGGGAGGGTTCCCGGGCTCCTTGGGAGGATTATTTGTTTATAGGAAACAAGTTGGGATGGTTGGAGATGAGTGGGATTTTGTAGACACCCTTGGAGAGTTTTTCCTGTTGAAAGTGAATTCAGCTACAGAACTCCATCTGGCAGCTCACACCATCTGTAGTGTGTGTGGCAAAAGAAAGTACAAAACAGGAATGAATTCATAAGTACCAGGACATGGATCCTGGGAGGGAGATGAACAGCAAATAAAGTTCTGGATATCATTTCACTTTCCCAGGAATGCTGGCCCCAAGGGCTGGGCTGGTTGATGGTGCTGGGGAGCCAGGAGGAGCGGCACCGCTTCCTCCTTTCTTCCCACACCCTGGGCTGGATGCTTGGTTTGATTCAGATGGCTGCAAATTCCTGGCCAATATGCTCCAGATGCCCAAGAATTGGTTGTCGTTTCAATGGAAAAGGGCAGGAACATGGGAATTCCAGTCTGTTCATTCTGGTACGAAACCTGACACACCAGCTGCTTCCTCATTCTCGATCTTCCCTTCCAGTGTTCCCCAAGGGGCTCTGTGGCCGGCTTATGGCTCTGCCCTGTCCCTGCACTGTCCCGTCGCCATGCAGGAGTGCTGGGAAACGCAGGGGCTACGGGCAGGCAGCTGCCCATGGGACAGGTGCCTCAATCCTGGCTCTTGCCCTGGAGCCAGGCATTCCCTTTCCCAGCAGCACAGTTCCCTGCAGTTCCATCCCCGAGGACAGCGCTGCTGCTGAGCAGCTGAAAGGACATGAGCCCACGGAGTGTGTCCAGGGGAGGGCAGCGGGATGGGGGATGGCCCAAGGGCTGGCCAGAGGAGGAGTGGCTGAGGGCATGGAGTTTGTCCTGCATGGAGGGGAGAAGCTGAGGGTGCCCCAGCACAGCCGGGAACTCCCTTCTGGGGCAGTGCGGGGAGGACCTGAGCTCATCTGCCTGATACTCAGTGCCAGGACACCCGGAATGGGATGGAGACATGGCAGGGGAAGGTCAGGGGGAGCATTAGGGACAGGCTTTTCCTGGAGAGGGAGGTCGGTCACAGGAGCAGGCTCCCCGGGGAAGCAGTCTTGGCCCCGAGCCTGGTGGAAGGAGCGTCTGACAAGCTCTCAGTCATACGGTGGAGTTTGAGGGAGCCCTGGGCAGAGCCAGGAGTTGTGCTTGCTGATCCTTATCAGTCCCTTCCACCTGGTGGTGTTCCATGGCTGTAGGGAATCTTCCTGAGAAAAATAATCTGCGTGGCATGGAGAATTCACTTTTCCTGGCTCTGTGCAGTGACTCCTTGGTACAGCATCGTTGTTTCTCTTTGCCTTTTTTCCAGATATGAGAAAAGCTCTTTCCAGAGATCCGGAGAAGAAATCAATCCTACCCCTGCCTCATCCCGTGAGACCAGAGGACATTGAGTAACTGTAAGCTGGGATTCTCCGGCAACTTTCTGCCTGTCAGGTTCCTTCTCCCCCAGCCCCCAAGCATTTAGGGATGGGAAATCTCTGGTTCAGGGTTTTCCCCATGGAATCCCCAAAAGCAGTGCTGAGACTCCCCCAGATGCTGGGCAAAGACCGACAGCCAGAGCCATCAGGGCTGGCTCTGCCCCAGCCCAGTCTCAGTCCAGGTTGGTGTTGGGGTACTGGCCTGGCCCGTGCTGTGCCCGTGGCAGGCCCTGGGGGCAGAGCTCTTATTTTCTCCTGCTACTCGTGCTTAGGGGCAGGGTGGCACCAGCCCCTGTAGCAGACAAGTCTCTACTTCCGCTCACAACATCTTTCCCCAGCCTGGATCCCCTGCGCTGGGGGCTGTTGGTGCCATGGGAGCAGGGATGGCTCTGGGCCAGCTGGGAATGGTATGCTGAAAGCAGTGTGTTCCCTGCCTGCACAGACGGGGCTGGAGTCACATCCATGGGGGGTATAATCCCTGGAGTTCGCTCTTGGAGCGTGTTTCTGTCTCCACGTGTCACTGTGGGGTCACATCCCGGCGCCCCCTGCCCAGCCCCAGATGCTGAGGGAGCTGACACAGGCTCAGCCAGGCCAAGAGTGGTTCTGCTCCCACGGGAGACGATTGACATGGGAATTAGCCCTACAGGGTAATAACCACTGGGCTGTGTTCCTGGTTCCTCACACCCCGCTCTCTGTCACTTTTCTCCTCTCTTCTAGTGTCCCCCACCAGCTGAGTGCAGCACTGGACGCCATGACTGGGTGGCCCAGCAGCAGTCCCGCGACCCAGGGCTTGTTCCTGCTGGGACCGAATAAACCCTCTCCGTTCCCTTTACCCGGCTGCATGTGCGTTGTGCGGGAGCCCCGGGCAGGGGAATGAGGGATGGCCCTGTCTGGCTGAGCCCCAGCCCTGGGCAGCCCCAG